ATGCAACCACATGATACAGACTTTATATTTGAACCTTATTTAAACCTACGATAGCACATACCATAAATATATATATATATATATATATATTCTGTTTAAGTGAGTTTTATATATTTTCTTTGAACGAAAATGACCACGAGGCGTTCGTTATTTGACGTTAAAAATAACTTTGACTCTCTCCAGAGTATTGTTTTTTTTTCAAACAAAAACTTTTCTCCTATTGTTTGTTTTATTTCATAGACACACACATACACACACACACACACACTCACACACAAACAACACAAATATAATAATAATAATATATATATATATATATATATAAATAAATGTATTACACTCTTCTTAGTAAGAATGTGCTAAAAGTAAACGGGGCACAACTATACTAACCACATGTTGTATCTATCGACGTCTATATAAATTAATGAATGAAAAGTAAAATGATCGTTCGATATGATGCGTAAGAATGTATTGAAAGCATAATACGATAGAGGATACAATTTTTTTTTTTTGTTACTGATGCTGATATCGATCACAAATAATTTAATTTTTCTACGCGTTATGTGACTATATACGTTTTGAAAATCATTCTACGTAAGTTATTATAATTAAGTATATAGACTACTTGTATCAGCTACCTGGGTATCAAAGTACAATTTTGCATAATCATGGTTATTAATTTACATATCTATAAGTGAAAATACAATAGTAATGACGAAAAATAAGGAAAATAGTAGAGTTATTTTGCATAGTATAGGGGAATATTAACTATATTATTTCAAATTTTTTTTAAGTGGTATTGTCTTAACTTATCGATATGTATTGTCTATAAACTAAAAATATAAATGTTATTAGTTTGCTAGTATAAAAATATTACATACTAGATATTATTTTTTACTAAATACATAATGACGTACATACAAAACTCCAGATTCATTTTTAAATCAAATTAATCAATTACTTATGAATTAATCGTGTTAAATATATTATAGATTAATTTCGTTATACTAATCTTATGTTTTTCAAAATTGAGGTATTAATTACCTTAATTACCTTAAATAAGACAAGCAAAACAAAGATACATAATTTTAAGTCACTGTTTATAGTAATATATTATATATGTCTTTTGCAACAACTAGTGTACTCAGTTCGCTAACACCAATTACCAAAACAAAATTTATGCAATTCAATGTACTCGTACATTTATTGAGTTGTATTTGTTTTATTTAGTGAATTAAATTTTAATTGTTACTGTAAACCACGTTTAGAATACTAATACATTAACGTCTAAAATGTAAATATTCGGTTTGTTTAAAAATAAACAGTAATAAAAATTACTTAAATAATTTAATTAAATAGTTTCGTAAACGAAAAATACACGTACCAAAAATCATGATTGTCAGTCTGATTCTTAATAATTTACAGCATTAATAGTATAATATTATTTAGTGAATCATGAGTAAGTTAAGGGTTTGTCGTTTGGAATTGTGCCCAAGTGTCATGTCCTACCCTCTCCTCTTTATAAAAATACATAATTACCCCTTACGCAAACTGCCTATGACATTCATCTTTACGAATTTGGCTCTGTATAGTATAATCGGTACTCGAAAGACGAGACATAATATTACCAAATAAGGTTGTTTTTATTTTTAGAACTGAGTGAAAAATAAAAATCGTCGTAGTTGTAATCGAGTGACGTAAAACTACGAACGTGTGCTAAACTGCTAAGTTTAATACTTGAATACAAATTTTTTATTATACGCATGCATAATAAATTAATATTATAATATACAGACTGTGTTATATAGGTTATTTGTCACACGTCTGACTTAAGAAATTTCGTTTTGATCATTTTTTTTTTACGATCAACGAAATACCAATATATATTACTGTGAACTATTGTGTTTGTTGTGCGCCAGTTACAATGGCCAGTTTATTAGATAATCTAGTATATTCCTATATCTTATAATATATTATATAAAGAAGAAAAATCCAGGATGAACTGCGTTTATACTATATTATTTTATGATATTCGAGAAATTTAACGTATAAGAAAAAAAAACACGTTTAAAACGCAAAATATTATTGTCAAATAGGCGTGAAATAAGTTCTGGTTTTTAGCGAAATTTCAAACGGGATATCTCGCTGGAATTCATTTACAGAGGAATGAGAATACAGCACTATGTTTTCTATATAGTAGTACTACCTTGGAAATACAACAAATTTCTCACTATATTAGATTCGTATAACAATACATAATTAAAGGCGTCAGTGCAATAACAAAACAGCTCTCTATATTCTATAATGCTTAGTAGTACTATACAACCATTCGTTGAATACAATGGGCAATGCAAATGGTTCTCAAATTAATATAAGCTGCAGGCAAATGAAAATCATCGAATGATGATTCAAATGTATGATTTAAAAACTATTAACATATTATTATGGCTGACAGTTGTCTTACTTCTTGAACTAACGATAAGTCAATATATGTATATATATATTTATTTTTAATAAAATTTATTATTATTTATGGTTTATATATATGTGTGTGTGTGTGTGTGTGTGTGTGTGTGTTTATTAGATTTAGTAATATAGTGTAATTTATTTAATTTATAAAAATACTTTATTTGATGAACACTGAATTGAAAATTACAAGTACAAGAAAAAAGCTGCTATTAATATCCACGATTTGGTAATAAAAATAATGTTTTTCCCTTGTACTTTAAGAATAATAAGGTCGAGAAAAAATGTACAAGAAAGAGATACCTAACGGGAGAAAGAAGAGAAAGAGAGAGGGATAGGGGGTAACAGAGCTTTGAAGTAAAGCACACTCTCCCGGCGTGACTTTAATTGTCTGTTGTGTAAAATCTATGAGTACTACTACATTATTTGCATAAAACGCAGTTAATTGTCTCGTATTGTTTTATTATAATATGTGTATACATTTAAACAATTGAAATAGTTATTCGGCTTATTTATTTTAATAATATATTTATGTACAAATGTTTATTTTTTCTAATAAACATTTTATCAATAATGTTAAAAATTTACATTATACATACCGTCAATTAAGTTATTATAACTATATTAACTATATTAATATCATAATAGTCATGACATGATGATTATTATTATTGTTATTAATTTGTAAGTTATTTTTATTTTCTTAAAAATTGTACTACTAATAAATTAAGTGTTAATAAATTGTTATTTCCATATTATTTACCATTTATGTACATATACAATATTTATACTAAATTTAATAAAAAGTCAACATAAGTTTTGTTAACTTTACTAATTTACTTATAATTACCAATAATACGTTAAAAAATAACTAAAAATAAAACTAACTAAATAGACCATCTTGCTTTCTTTTTATAAGCATGTGGTAGTAAATCCAAGTATGATTACTAGATCGATAAATACGTAAACTGTTTGTTTAAATGATAGTTAGTGTTCAATTTTTGTAATACGATTTCGATATGATATTATTATAAAAATAATAATATATTCTCCAAAAAAAGAGTATGTCAATTAAATATTATGTATTGATTTATCTATGTTAAAAGTAGAGTCCTTAAACAAAAATTTAACACATATTACAGTTTCAATAATTTATATAAATTCTATACAGAAGTACACACAATAATAATGGTAATAAAATAAGCATAGTATAGTATGTTATGATAATTAGTAATCTAGTAACACTTAATTTCATCTTCATCAATTCATTGATTATTCGTATTTTATCATATAGTTTCCTTGATCTGATAGAATTCTAAACAACTTAATTTAACAATAGCAGCAACGATAAAAATATTGCATACTATTTTATAAAAATATATTAGTATAAACTATAAATAAATAAATGCTTATCATCTATTGATATTTGAAATTTTTTGGGTGTACGCAGTGGCTATTGAAATATAACTAATGTAAGTATTTTTTATAATTGAACTAACTTTAAATATTACAATATTCTACCATATAGGTGTTTTACATAACAACCGAACAAATAGTATGATAGTTGTGAAAATCATAAGTTAAATTTGTAAAAGTTATTTAAATTAGTTTCCATATGTTTAATGATTTATCAAGTATGCTTATTATTTTTTTCTTTAATAATTAAATTATTTAAAACATGATTTTTGAATTTTTTGAATTTATTTCAATGCCAAATTTTAAAATTTTTGAAATTGTTAGAATTATTTAAAAAGTGCCCAGTAGAGATACAAACTTCTGTTTTTTTTTTTTTTTAACTAGAACAGTCTTTTTAGCTATATATTCTATATATTATTTATACATAAACATTTTGACGTGTTAAAATTAAAATTCGAACGAACAGTTTTCGAGTTTTTTAATCTTACAATCTCAGAATAATTGATTCACAACAATTTGTTCGGAAGATAAAGTAAGTTTGAACATTTTAGTATATAAATTCATCATCAAAATTTATAATTTTTAAAAATTGTAAAAGTATAATTAACATTAGATCCAATATAACATGTATTTTACATCCTCGTAAAACAATGTCGACTATTATACTTAGTAAAAATATTTAAAAATATTAAAAATCAGAATAAGAATTATAATTTGTTATTAAATGAAAAAATAAGATGAAAATATTTGGTGAATTGTTTTGTATAGTATATTGCGAAGTGTAAATTATTACGATTTTTAAATATAGTTTAAAAATATTTAATTCTAAGTTTGTAGAAAATCAATTTTTTGAAAACATTTCAAATTATCTATTGCATTGTTGTAATTGTTATAGATGTTTAATGTTGGAAATTTGATTACCACAGTAGTAACCAGCTTATATATTAGTAGTGATCTATTTATTTTTTTATTATTTACGATGATTAATTTTGAATTATTGAATTACCTGTTGACACTATACTATTGTTATAACTGAGTAATTGCTTAAAACTTAATCGATCAAAATAAATTTAATACTGAAATAATATTAACGTCTAGTTTTGTTTTGTATTGTACAGACGATAATCGTAACTCCAACGAGGCGAATGCTTATTTCGTTCTCGAAGGTCGGTGTACTTGCACGCAGCGACTCCGTATCTGTAAAATGACAGTAAATGGCCGCAACCGTTTTACAATGATCCGAGATTATAATGACGATGGCCAATCATATTCGGACACACAGAAAAATGTGCAGACAGTCTATGTGAAGATTTCCGATCTACGTCCAGGTTCGGTTTTCGGTCTGGGTGAGTCGTATATCATTATACATTTTCATTGGTTATTATATGCATTACAGGGGGAATAGGATGTACCTCGATATTATTTATCCATTAGCGACGATACATATTATTGGGTTGAGAATAAAATATAATTTTAATGGCGTTTCATTCTTGATGACGTTAAAGAAATATCACTTTTTAAATGTCTATGGACACAAGTGTGAGGAATAGAAATTGAAGAAAGATCGGTGACACCTGAGAATAGTTATCACAGGTTATGTGCCTATATTTTTAGTGTCGATAAAAAAATTAGACGAAATGTTGAAAAAAATATTAAAATAATATTTCCATACGTTTTTCCATTCCTAATTCTATTGTAAATTATTTTAAATAATTGGTTTTATACTTATTTTTCATTTTCATTATTATTATTATTATTGTTTTTTATTAAAATGCTAAATACGTTGAAAATACGTTAATAAAAGAACGTTGATTTATAAGGAATGTTAATTTAAAATAAAAACGAGTTCAAAAATGTGAAATTTTAATTAAAAATGTGACATAATTCAAACTAACCAATCAATGCGTAATTATTGCTCATCCGCTTATGTATTTATTTAGTTTTCTTCTTATTTGTTTACAAAACATTACGCTTGGCTATATACATATTCTCTTGGCTCGTTAGTAATTGATCTTTATTGATTAAACCATGCTTCGTCAATATGCCGTTGTCCGGTTGCTATATGATTGTGTATAGTCCTTAAAAATAAGTAAGTAAATGGATGATGAAATGGGAATACGTCACAAATCACAATCCTTGTTAAGAATGGCTAAAAAAAATGATTGATGAGTTTTAATTTTGTTACCAACGTATTATAATTGTTTAAATGCCTCTCATTTTGTAGATTTTATACTCAGAGAGCTAAATCGAATATTGTTAATTTTATTTTAGTACAGAAAAATATTATTTATAATGTGTAGGCTTAAACAAAAATAAAAATGCAATTGTTTATATTGCTTTTGCTCACTGAAAATTGGGTACAGGTGAAAAGTTCATTATATTTTGAATAATGCTAGTTTTCACGGATATTATCATAAGTAACTATAAGAAAGTCAGTTATTTTTTATTTAATGAGTTTCCTATACGTATATGTATATATTTAATATACTTTACAAGCTGTCATACACTCATACGGTAGCTTAATAACATAATTAATATTTAATAATGATGATATATATTTATTAAATCAAATCAATAAATAAATGTATAACATACAAAGGGGCAAAAGTTTAATTAGTTACCTCAACGTTAATTAAGAATTAAACAATTTAAGTAAAACAAAAAATAAAATAAAAAAATATTTGAGAAACTCAATAAAAATGTAACAAAAACGAAGTGGTTTGACAAAAATTCAAATTTAGTTATAATGTTATCATATATACAGTTATTAATTATATTAATACTATTTGATTTATATCATCGAATCCTATTCATATCTTCTTCTTAAATTCGTAAACTAAAACGGAAACCAAATAAGTTTCAAAAACGTTTTATAGCGCCCGAACACGCCTGCCGGAAAACTATTATTTTCCAAAACGACGCTGATATACCGGCCAACGCCTAACCAATACAACTTGACACCACTATAAATCATTTCAAAAATTTTTATGTTTATTGATAATTAAAATATGGGTATTTTACTATTTTATGCATCTACAGGAGAAAAGCGTTCAGATCGGATAGTGATTGCCACAACTGATGTCAAATGTCTGCTTGTCCCGTTGTCATTCCTCGCTAAACACAACGGGTCCAACATCTGGGGAAGAACTGTGTGCTCTCTGAACGGCACCAACCCAACAGCCGAACAGTCGTTCCGGAAGTTTGTCGTGGAAAACAGATGGGAAGAGTACAAGAAGTCGTTAGCGAGCGACTTGTTCCGGAAATGCCAACCATAATACTGTTATTATTATTATGACCAATGGCCACTGTGTATAGAATTATATTTTATGTTATTTTTACGAACGACGTAGTATAATCGCATCGTGTCTTTTCTTTTTATTATTACTAAATAGGTTAAGTACCTACCTTTGGTTTAAGTAACCTATATAACGAGTTTTTGTCTTTTTATCGTGTTTGTCGTTAAATTTACAATAAATTACATAAAATATATGCGTACTCGTGGTATTCAAAACTACTGCAAGAGAGAGAAAAAACAAAAGTTTTATTATGTATGTATTATATACGCACACGTACAAAACATATAATATATACGTTTTATTTTGATGTACTGTGCAAACAATACGCCAAGCGAGCCGCTTTTAATGGTAAGCTTTTCGTCGAACGGAAATTCGGTCGAATGGCAATAAAACGAATTTCCTCGTACACGTCTCCATAACGACCTGTAGTAATAATATGTGTCAAATGCCATACGTCATCTATGTCTTTTAACGCCAGCTCTGATGAACATTATTGTGTTAAAAACAATCTAAGCTAAGCTAACCTACCGTAATGGTGTGAAATAGTAATGATAAAATAATAAGTAATACTTAGTAATATGTAATGGTATTCATGTTTTACATTATAATATATATATATATATATATGGCAATTGGACATACGTATCATATAAAATTCTACTATATAGGTATAACAATAGGTATTTTGATTAATCAACACAATGTTTAATTAATATAATAATACAACCATTTAGCATGTTGCATATTTGTTTGCTCTAACGATCACGCTTCATCATTTGCTCTGTATATTTCTATCAGAGGGTATGTAAAGTAAAATATATTAAAATATTATTGAATTGTAACCGGTACAACTAAATGTCTTGTCTAGTATTATTTACATTTAAATCCTTTAATATTCTCCGTTTGGTATTAAAATGTCATTGCTATACCATATCAGATATGTACAACATTTAATTATTATCAAGTACGTAACATTACTAGGTATTCCAACAACACAATTCATGGAGTCATAAATTAAATCTTTGTGCAAACCGAATACGTACAAGACATGTCTAACGATTGAAATTACATTAATTAGTACATAAAAATAGTATGAGGTACAAATTAACAGTGGGTGTAGGTTGTTTAATTTTATTGGATCTATTAATCTGTATTTTATATTATATGCGTGATGTATATAGGAGATATCAGAATATTATAGTTATCATTACTGAAGTTGCCTGAAGAATATACAATCAAATCATTTGACACTCTGCGTATAGTAATATTTATATATCTCACGCACATTATGTATTATAAATAATAATGGCAATAATAATAAAAATAAAATGTCGTATAAAAAAACAATAAAAACACGAATACAAGCGTAACAATATTAAACACGCAAAATGAAAATGTTATATAATATATTTCATTGTTTTCATTAGAAATAACACGACACGTGTCTTAAATGTTTTTTTTTTTTTTTTTTTTATACAATAATTAACTTAAAGTATTTACGATATTACATAATTAATGTGTATACATATATTATTATAGTATAGTATTTGAAAAAAGATGAATTACAAATTATTTCTCTATACATAGAGTATTGATGTTAAAATATCGTTATTTTATACATATTTATGTTATAATACTGTAAAAACAAATGATTAAAAATGATCAAACAACGATCATCACAGCGTTATATTAATTACATTCAGAATGACATATTATATTACATGTAAAGTATCTTCTATATCGTATTATAATTATTTTTATTCTATTGTTTTTTATTTATGTTTTTATCATACACGATAAAATGCGATAGATCTTACAACTCACCCATATTATAAATATCTTATGTTCTGGTAGGCATTTATAAAAGGCTACAGTTGATTAGAATTTATTTTACACGAGTCGCAAGACGGTCGTATCTAACTACTTATATTTTAGTTTTAGAAAATCATGTTTGCTATAATAATTGTATTTACCTCGGTATATGTGGAAAGACAACAATAGACTATAGTTAATAATAATAATAATAATAATATATTATAGTGTTTGTTGCCAAAATACCGTCGAATATACTCATTAGAATGCTCTATAGTATATCCTTCAGAGACTCATTAGACGTTTAAGTTAAATATTGATATTTGTCTGGTGAATTTTAATGATATTATGGTTCATAGTTAGTGTGAATAATATTATACGCACTTTTCTCTCCAATCCTACTTCGTAGAAAAGGTTCAAATATTATGATTCGGTGACAAGACTCGTTGTAGATCCACTCATCCACAGTGAAAACGAGTGATGTTATAAACTGTTTGATAATTGAATTGAACCGAGTGTCCAGTTTAAAAAGCGAACTAACAAGTTCAAATATTTGAAATATTTGAATAATCAAATGCCTATGAGCTAATTTAAAAATCAAACTAATGAACTGAAAATTGATATTAAATTCGACGAAGAAAAACTTAAAATGCAACTTTTGTTAAAATGTGTGTAATATTATTATTATTATTATTGTTTGAAATCACTAAATTGTTTTATTAACTAAATATTTCTTAAAGTTTGGTTTGGGTTCAATTTAACTATTTAATATTTCGTTTTGGATTTAGTTCGTTCTTTAATAGTCAAGTTCAAATAACATTACTATAGCTAAAACTGCTATTATTATTAAAATTTCCGACCCTTCTCTTTATAGACCAATCTACTTCTTAAAAACTGTTAAACATTCAATGTCTCATTATTAATTCATTTCATTAATACAAGTGCAACCCAAAAATATGACCGATATAGTTAATAGCAAACAACTTAAATTAATTACGTACCCTAAATGAGTACATAATTAAAAATATTTTTATTTTGTAAATATAATTTAAATACCAACATAATTAGGTCATGTCGTATATGATATAGAGTTAGGCAGTGAAGTTAACCATCATTATAACTAAGGTTAGGACATTTTATGAAAAACATTTTCGGTTAAATATAAACATTTACTGTAATCAATAATTATTTTATTTCTTCATTATGTATTTTTATAGTAAAAACGTGTTCTTGTCACTGAGGCTACCATAGAAAAAATGAATAAGTAAGAGTGTAAGAGACCAATCTCAGTAATATTGTAATATAATACTGTTTATGTGTATTCGATTTATTAACTAATATTTATTGTAGCGTGGATATCGTAACGCTTAATTATAACAAATTTTATTTTTCAAAATAATTTTATTTATAATAATAAAATACATATTATTAAAAACGAAAAAAATCGGGTTAATTTCCACGCTCCTCTGGGAATTTCTTGGAAAATTTTAACTCTTGTGAACTTAGGAGGGGGGGCCAACTTTATATATAACGATAGATTTCCGTTGGGTCAACGCGTAGTCATCATACTATTTTAACCTACATGAGCGCAAAAAAATAATATAGGTATACCCTACACTAAATCAGATACCTTTATGAAAATCGATTTTGAACAGAATAAACTTTGGCGTCGATTCAGCAGTGTGGTGCGAGTGAAGTATATTATAATATAATAGTTTTAGCAAAAAAACTGGATAGTTGGCGTGGTGAAGAGAGTTATGGGATACTCATGGCTAAAATAAAAAATATATATATTACATACGACGCAAATTTTACGTCATCTATAGTTGCATTTTCGTTGCATCAACATTGATAAAATCACGATTATTATTCATTATAATTTTGTGGTATTTTTTTCCATTTAAAAAATTTTATAATAACTATAGTTTTAAAACACCGTTATAACATTACTATGTTATTATTATTATTTTTTTTACTCACTCATCTCGATCAGATAAAAATTATTAGGTATATACAATATAAAAAAAAATATTTATAGGCATAATATTATATGTGTATAATATACTTGGTAATCATTATTAACACTTAATGATTAATCTTATAACTTCATCTATAAGGTTATATCGTTTTTTTTTTGTTTTTGTTTTTTGTTTTTTTTTTTTTTTTTTGTTTTAATAAGTTTATGTTTAATAATACTGTATATAATATAATTGTATATAATTGGCCAAATGTTGCTAGTTATCTCGCAAAAACTCGATGTCCACTCATTTTCCGCCGTGTATGTGTACAAAATTGTTAAAACAACAACAGCAACAATAGCAACAATAACAAAAATAACAACAATAACAATAACAACAACGTTATCATAAAACACACACACACATAATATATATATTATTATATTGTTATAATATTATCTAATTAAAAAAAAAAAAAAATGAACAATTAAAAATAATCGTCACAAACATTCGACGCACATATAATAATATATTGTAAGCATACATTCACACAACGCCGATATTTAAATAAAAACACATCAATTGATATAAGTATTATATTATATTTTTAAGTGTTAAATGTTTTGTTTTATAATAATTCTCATATGATATCATTTAGGGAACACTATATATTATAATCAATTATTCATTGTATTTACAATGCACGAATAACCCTGGTAATATTTTAGGATAACACGCGTCATTAATATTAGTAATAATAATAATATAGGAATGATAGGTAATATCGTTTATTGGGTTCGTGGCGAAAAGAAAAATGTAAAAATGTCTGGTTTTTTTCGTTCAAATTTACAGCGCACCAATCGTTTCATACGATGTACATATATCATATTAGCAGGTGTGTTACTCAACCGTATTGTCTGATTGAATAAACCATGAATTTTCAAATAATTAAAAAAACATCACATACCTACTTAGAACAAAATTTAGTCTACGATCGTTCCTAATAAAAAAGCGCGCGTCTTATTAATATTAAATAGTATAATTATTACGATAACATTTCGTATATAATGATTAACCAAATGCTCTCACTCCAAAGATTTTCCCGTAATAGTAAATTTATTTAAAATCTGATTTTTGATTTTTTAAATATACTTAATTAGAATATTTTAAAATGTTGAAGCGTTCTGTAACATAATTAGTTGAATATTTTGATATGCCTAATTCGAAATTCAAACGAGTAATTTCTCTACTATTTAATTATTTATACGAAGAATAATGTAGTCTTAAAAATGGTTTTCCAAAAATAAAAAACAAACGGAATATTGTATCTAGTATTTATTATAATTTAACTATTTTTATAAAGTATATAATTACCTATATTGACAGGTAAATATTAATTATTATAACTTTCATATTACTATTGCCTCCATATTTTCCAAATTAATTATTATAGATATAAACTTATTATTCTTAGTATAAAAAGTTAAATAATTTAAAAACAAAAGTTTGTAAACTCCACAACACATTCCTTTTAGTACCTAAGAGAATATCAAAAACTTGAAAATATAGTCATAAAATATATTTAAAAATTTTAAAAATTTAATTTTAAATAACTTCACTATTGAAGAAACAAGGGATATGTATACTTGGTAAATCATTTTGCTTATTACTCGATAAACCCCTCATATAATCTACCTACTATAATATCTAGTCTATAATTCCTTTGAATCATGTGTATTATCGTGTATATTCTTATTATTACCCTGTTCCACCGGAGTCGAGATATTTTTCTATGTACGGTGTATAAGTAAAGTATAAATATTATATCGTTAAAAATGTACATTAATAGTAACCAATAATGTTATTATAATATAACTTACTTTAGTATATCATATTATTTTGACAAAGTATATATATAAAAAAAAAATAAATAAATAAATAAAAAAAAGTATGATGGCTTTTCATGTGGAATCACATTGAGTGGCATTTTGACACCTGACCTGTATGCACGAAATTTGTTTCGAAAAAGTTTTATACACTAACAATTATTTATTATGATATTATATTATATAGTTGCCATCTCATATGAAACCTAACATAAAATAATAACATTTTAATATACTACGTATATTATATTTCTCCGTTTGTTTGAAAATCATAAGCCTTTTTATAAAGATAGCGTTACGGAAAAAAATAAAATAAAAAAAGAATAAAAAATGATTTTAATCGTACAATAAGTCAAAAAAAAAAAAAAAAAAATGTTTAAAAAAAAAAATTATTTTTCATATAATATTATACTACTATTCATCATTCATATGATGTCTGACGATTTTACGTTGCCCAGCTGTAGTGGCCCATCAGTTTTTCAGGTTTAATATCATTTTAAAACGATATTCACAATATTATACAAATCATCTCTATTTACGATATCTCTTGTCTACATTGAGATCATTGCACGGGTAATGTTCTCGTCATTTTTACAACTTTCCATGAACTCATCAAATGACACCACCCCGTCTCGGTTGAGGTCCATTTTCTGTCAACATAAAAACTCAATTAATACCATCATTAAGTATACATGAAATAACTCTTATCAGAAAAAAACTTTTTTTTTTTTTTTAAATTTATAATTATTGTATTAATTATTATTAAATATACAGTTCTTCGATAGTATTTAATAGTATTTATAAAATTATTTTCAAAATCTGCTCCTTTTCGATGACTAGGAGCATAATTATGGAGTTTGAATGTTTAACGTCATCTGAAATTTTTCATTTGACACTTCAGTGTATACATATTTTTTAGTAATATATTATTACAAAGACTTAAGTAGAGATATTTTTAACTCGTATTTTCTTTTCTTTTTTTTTTTCAGAAATATAATATTATTGAATAATGCAATAATAATACATAATCCAAAGTATAATTAAAAAATAATCTTCATTTACGGTGTGTGGTTTTGTAAATATTATATTATTTATGTAATGTAAATTCACACAATAAAGTTGCGAACTATAAGTAACAGAAAAAAAAAATTTTATCCAAACTAATAAATCACAATAATTTACAAGTGATTGGTTAAATACTGACGTAAACTACTTAAGGAAACTAGGGGTACTAATTTTAAGTCTGGATGGACTAAGCACCCTTTAGTTCTTCACTATATGTGCCTATGTATTAGAGTTTCAGTTTACCAGACAAAGATAGAATACAATGTTATAAATGTGTACAATATTGATATGGATTCAATAAATATAGTGACACGCCAGTACTTAAAATAAACAATTATGAAAAGATTTCTTAGAATATCATAAAAAAAAGGAAAAAACACGATAAGAGTTCACTTTATGATAAAAAGGAGACTAGATTTGAAAAATATTTAATCTATTTTATATTTGTACGTAGAAAAAAGTTGAAAAATTTAAGCCGAACGTTATAGTCAATATTATGTTATTGTGTAATATATTGTTATTTGTTGGAATATTCTAAATGAGGCATAATATAACTGACAAAAATTAACGTATAAGAATATCTTTTGTTGACTTATAATATTATCATATCTTATAATATCTGTTTAAATATAAACAGGTGGTGATTTTAATGGTTATAAAATACAAGTACAGTAATGGTGTTTTTAATTTAACCAAAGGGGTTTTTATGGGGTCTTAGGTACCCATAGATAAAAAAAAAATAATGGACATAACATGGTTTCGTGATACTTTTTGAAGAGAAGTAGAAAATTTTGGCCTTTAGTTTATGAGAGAAAGACATGCGAGCTCTTTGAAAATATAGTAGCATATATTTTTTTTAATCTTATCACTAAATTATTGTGGGATAAAATACATTTTTATTTATTATTTTAGTAACTATTGAAGCTAAAATCAAAAAATATATTAGTTTATAATTTAATCATAATAATACGTAATTATTATTATTTATTATCTAGGCTGATAAAAATAAAAATAATATTAATTTAAATTTGTTTTTCAAATAAAGTAGTAAGTACTATTTTTCATAGGACAGACATAAAAATGACCTTTAACATGCCACTGAATAGTAATTATAATTTATTTTCTTACAATGTACGTAGATAGATTTAAATAATAAAAATAATGATAAACTATAGCTTTGAATTATCATTTTTGCTTCATAGTTTTTATGACATAAAATTATAGAACTTTTTATGCCTTAATGTTGGGATTTTTTTTAGTTTTACAAAATTTTTCAGTTTAATATGATAATTTGTTTGAACATAATTTCGACAAAGAATATACAAATTAAAACGTGAAATTTAAGTCATCTTCATATTATACATTGTTCGGAATTTTATCAAAGTCAGAATACCAACTCTCGTCAGCATTTATTATTATTATTATATTATGCACACCATCTCTTTTCCCGATATGATGGCGTAGTTTCAGTGACACTTCGACCTAAACGGTATCGTATATAATTATAATAATTATCGCGTGGGTAATATAATTATCAAAGTGATTTTAACGAACTACATTGTGTGGGTGACAATCGAGATACCCGATTTAACAACTTTTCTTCATTCTATACTATCACCGTTCTTTGATAACGAATTTATGATAGTTTCTAGCTGATAATTCAAAATTCTAAATTGCTTTATGTCGTAATAAGTGCCAACTACGGAGTGCGTAATGTTATACCACTCAGGATTCTTTGTATTATATTGTCTTCCAGATTTTTAAAATGATCTGAAGACTTAGCGTTTATGTATCCGTTAGGGTTGTTCAAAAGCTTTTTTTGGAATTGAAAAGAATGATTGAAATTCATGCGTAAAAAAGTTAAGCTTATTAATCATTTTTTTTTTCAAAAGTCATTTTTTTATATAACTCGAATACTTGGAAATTAATCAAAATCATGTATAATTTAGTTATATCTTTCGTGATGTCGATAAAGGATTTGTAAGCCTTATGGATTTTTCAATTTGATTGTGTTTTTACTTTTTATCCATGTTTATGAATATTTATTTTTTTTTTTTTTTTTTTCATGGAACAAATTTTATGTTTTTAAATGTTGATTGTTAATTTAATATATCAACATTTGGGACTTATTTTTGGAATTATGTTATTATATATTTTAACCTAGCTTTTAAGTTGTTAATATAATTTATAATTTTTATTATTGAGAATTTTTTTTTTTTTTTTTTTTTTTTTTTTTATTTTATTGAACAAAACATAATATTTACAATCTGTATTTGTAGTTATACAATAAGTAAATGTGATGGAATTGATTTTCAGGAGGGGGGAAGTTGCCCATTGGCGACACCCCGTGGTAAGCGGTTTAAGGAGAGAGTAGGTCCCTACACCAGTTCCTTTTCAGGCGCCTGGGTGGATTACCTGGAATTTGATTTGATGATAGTTGGGTGATTATAGGATTAGAGTGAGTACTGAATGTTTTGTGTGTTTTTTTGTAGGTGATTTTGGCAAGGCTGTTTAAGGTTGGAATGCAGATGTCTTTATGAAGTGATTCATTGGTAATATACCAAGGGGCACCAGATATTAGACGTAGACAAATGGACTGAAATGCCTGAATAGTTCTAGTATTTGAGGGTTTGGCTGACCCCCAAAGTTGTATGCCATAGTACCACAAGGGTCTTAGAAGAGCCATGTATATTGATCTTTTGGTTTTTAATGAGAGCTTTGAGCGGAGTAAGGGTCTGAGAAGGTGGAGTCTTGAATTGAGAGCTTTACGCTTTTTTTTTAAGTGTGGACCCCATGTAAGGCGTTTGTCGAGAATTAAGCCCAAATAATTAGTTTGTGTGGTAGATGGAATTTGTGCATTGCCGATAAAGGTTGCGGGACATTCTAGAGATCGAAGTGTGAAGGTAATTTGTGAGGATTTTGATGGGTTTACTTGGATTTTCCAGTCATGAAACCAGGTGTTTAGCACAGTTAGGTGGTTTTGGATTTTTTGGGCAGCTTGGATGGGATCATAGTCAGTAGCAAGGATAGCAGTGTCATCCGCGAACGTACCAAGTAGTGTGTTTTCGTTTAGAGGTAGGTCACTGGTGAAGACATTGAATAGGAAGGGAGCTATGTCGCTGCCTTGGGGAACACCGGCAGTTGCTATTTGAGAGTTGGATAAGGCGCCGTTAATTTTTATGACAAATGTTCGTTGGTTTAGATAAGATTTAATTAGTAGGTAGTACGGAGCAGGCAAGAAAGATTTTAATTTAAAGAGTAGGCCAGGGTGCCAAACTCGGTCAAAAGCCTGTGCGATATCTAGAAAAATACCAATGCAGATTTTTTTGCTCTCGAATGCTGATGAGATTTGATCGACGACTCGATGCAGTTGGTGGATTGTGTTGTGTTTAGATTTGAAGCCAAATTGGAAATCAGGTATAATTTTATTATCTGCGGCAATTTTTGTAATTCTTTTTAGTAGTATTTTTTCAAATAGTTTTCCTACGATAGACAGAAGGCTTATAGGACGGTAAGAGGATGGGTTTTCGGGAGGTTTACCTGGTTTGTGGATGAGTATTATTTGAGCATGTTTCCAGATAGATGGCATGTAAGAAAGGCGGAGTATAGAATTGAATATATAAGATAGAAGTATTATTGTCTTGGGAGGTAATTGTTTTAAAAATGGAGCAGTTATCAAATCATGACCAGGAGCTTTGCCAGCCTTTAAATGTTTTATATAGAAGAAAACTTCATTTGGGGTAGTGGGTTTGGCAGGCATAGAGACTGGTAGTGGACTATCTAAGAACTCGAACACTCTGGCAGAGTGCTGCGGATTTGTTTGTATAATGTTTGGTTTGAAAACTGTAGCAAGGTGTTCGGCAAAAACGTTGGACTTTTCCACATCGTCAGTAATTTTAGAGTTATCGGGGCGACGAATTGGAGGAGTGGGTTCGATGTGTCTAAGGATTTTTTTGGTTGCTTTCCAAAGCGAGCCGTTTGTTGGATTTAGGTTACAGATGTAGCTGTCATAGGATTGATTTTTGTGATTTTGAAGTTGTCTTTTAAGTTTGTTGGTTAGGTTATTAAAGATCCGCTTGTCGTTAGGGTAACCTGTGATTTGCCATTTGGCACGAGCTTTTCTTTTTTGTCTTAAGAGTACATTGATGTGGTCCGGGAGTGGATATTTGTCCAGAATTTTGTTCGAGGAGGTGGAATAGTTGTTACTTGGGCGCGAGGACAGTTTGGCCGCGGATTGGATCATTTCTATAAATGTGACAGAAGCTTTCTCGAGGTCTTGGGGAGTTTTAAGAGGTATGCCTAATTTTGTATTGTTGCTTAAGTACTTCTTGTATTGGGTCCAGTTAATTGGGCCTGAGGTCAGAGAAGATCTTGTTGGGATTTGGTTTGTTTCACCATCGATGACTAGCTTAACTGGGGTATGATCAGAGGAAAGATCAGTGATGTTATATATAGCAAGGGGTAAGTTACTTGGGGTGGAATATATGAAGAAGTCTAAAATATCTGGATGCCTATTAGTGTGAGTGGGCCAATATGTCGGTCCAGTAGGTGCAAGGATTGACCATTTATGATCGGTAGTTGTTTT